AAAATTGTTATTTTTGGTCCAATCATGCAAGATGGTAGTATAAAACACATCTAAGGAATAATGTATAATAAGCTCTCAGTATTAAAATATGGTTATTAAAAAGGAAAAATACATTAAACTGACACAGAATATTCGATTTTAGTAACGTTTAATACTTCAAAATCAGTGCAATATGTACCAAAAATAACAATTTTATTATTCAAGAAATGAATCCTACAATTTCTTTTGTTTCCAAAATTAGTTTGGCTTTTTAATTACATTGGTATTTAAATAAGACACACAGAAACTAAATAAGGACAGATCTGTTCTATTATGAGCACCTTAAACACATAATCTATGTCCATTCCATCTCCTGCAACCACAAAACCTTGCACACAGAAGTTCTTTTATAAATGTCCACTCAACTAAAGGTGTCCTCATACAGTTCACATTGTACAATGCATAAGGTGTCCCACCTGGGGACCATATAGCATTTTTGTTTCGGCAAAACATTTTTGTACTTTTACGTTAATTTGTTGAGTCCAGGGTTGCGCTATTTGAATTTTTTTTTTTTTTGATACTCTTTTGGCTAATGGTAGCAGGGTATCTTGTTCTAACAAATTTACTGTTTATAATGACAATTATTCCACAGACAGAAAAAAAATCTTTTAACAAAGTCAATNAGTTCTTTCATAAATGTCCACTCAACTAAAGGTGTCCTCATACAGTTCACATTGTACAATGCATAAGGTGTCCCACCTGGGGACCATATAGCATTTTTGTTTCGGCAAAACATTTTTGTACTTTTACGTTAATTTGTTGAGTCCACAGATGCGGTATTTGAATTTTTTCTTTTTTTTTGATACTCTTTTGGCTAATGGTAGCAGGGTATCTTGTTCTAGCAAATTTACTGTTTATAATGACAATTATTCCACAAATAGAAAAAAAAATCTTTTAAAAAAGTCAATATATCTCATTTAGCTTCAACATATGAGCAATGAAGTTGAAAATAGCAAGACCTTGCTGATATAAGAATATGTAACATGACCCACGCTTCTCAATGAGGAATTGTTTTTCTGACTTCTGTACTCAGTAGCTACCTTTAAAAAACAATCTCCTATTGGCATTGGTGCACACTGGCTCAGTTTTGCAGTTCTTATTGTCATTTTTTATGGCACCAGAAATGTATTGTTTAGTTCCCAGTTTTGAAGATAGTTAATTTTTTTGGTGACTCAAATCACCATGTAATAATTAATATTCCTTTAGTACATGCAATCCATTTGCTGTAAAAATTAAGTAGAAGATCCATTTTTATAACAAGTACAGTTTGTTACAATGTGATTACAGAGAAAACATACAACATAAGATACTAATTTTAAATTCTTTTTCTTACTTATACAATATCATATAAGAATTTAGGGGCCATAATTAAATAAATAAGTTTTTTCAGACAACACTGTTTCAGATTGTAAATTACTTACAATTAACTTCTTAAATAATTCTTTTTTTTTTTTTTCCTTTGTCTGTTTTCTTGACCGGTAACGGGATCATAACCCTCGGTGTTGCGCCCGCACCGCGCTCAGCCAGTGAGCAGGAACCGGTCTCCACATGGGATCCCAACCCTCGGCGGGAGCGCCGCCGCGCTCCCAAGTGGCACACTATCCAGTGCGCCACCGGGCTGGCCCAAACTTCTGAAATAATTCTAAATTTAGATTATTAAGAAAAAATATACATGAATTTATACATCAGTTTTTGTAACTGCTCTTCTGTGATCATTGCTTCCTTCCTCATACTTTTTTAACCTATGGTACAACCACCAAGAGTAATTCACTGTCAGAAATCTTACCTGGATTTCTATTTGGAGAAGAATCCTTAAGTCTCTGCTCTTCTGTATATTTAGAAATTAGCTGGCAATTGCTATGTATGAAAAGACATGATAAAGAAAAGTACTGTTTTAATATTGATAAAAAAACACAAAATAAATACAGAGAGTATTTCAGACAATATCAGAGCTAATATAAGAACTTTAATTATGCCATACACTGTGAACTTGTATGCTTTACGAACTTTTTATTGAGCTTATAATTAAAAAAGAATAGTAAGGTGAAGTAGTCATGAATTGAGGGCAGTATAGCTCAGTAAACTAACTAGATTTAGCTTGACACAATGGAAAATGTCCGAACTCAGAAGAAGTCCTAGTTCTGTAAACAACAGCTACTTGTTCTTGGACAAGTCACTTCTCTTAGGCTCAAAGCATCTTCTGAAAAATAAAAATTTTAATGCCTAATTCACTCAGTAGTTCTAAAAATTTAATAAGATAATATTAAAAAATCCTCAGAGAGGGCCGGCCCGGTGGCGCACTGCGCTAGTGCGCCGCTTGGGAAG